AAAAAAAAAAAAAAAGAAGAGAGAGAGAGAGAGAGAAAAAGAAAAATGAATAAAAGCTGCAAGACATCTCATATATTCATTTACTTCCCTTGATTTAAAGGGCAATATGCCAATAGGCATTGTAAAGCACAAATGGAAGATAACACACAGGCTCCAAACCATAGAAAATATGATGGAACTATCTTTTATTTTTCTTTCTTTTTCCACCTAAAAAGCTGAATGAAGTTACACACAAAAATTAAATTCCTTTGCCTGCAATTTGCATTCATTTATTCCAAAACCTGTCTGGTCCATCTACCTTTTTCCCTTGCACTCATCGTTTTTCTTCGCAGTCCCAAATGCTATACAAGATAAGAATGACATTCGGGTCAGTGATGTCATTTATATTTTCGGGTTATAACTCCAAAGTCTAAATAGCAGCACTTTTTCCAATTTTCTCAACCTTTTTAGGAATATAGTAAGAAATTTTTGAAGCAAGACCCAAATGTAACTTTTGTAGTGACACTCAGCTTAATGACAGCATTGGTGATTAATTATCAGATATTTTTTATATAACAGCAGTTCAATTAGTTATCAGACCACTCAGATTCTTTTGGTTTACATCAAAACTTGAACCAGAAACCAAAAACATGGACAGTAAATTTGTCAAATTACACTTTCAGTACCTCTGCAATCAACGAACATTAACTCTGAATTTACCCGTTGATGGAGAATGAAACTGAGAGAGGCGGTGCATGCATGTGGGCCGAGATATGGAGCAATAAATACCTCCCATCTACCAATCAAATGAGAGTTGGGTGAGTACAACAAAATCATAAGGGACCATAACAAAAGAGAAAAGAATAATGGAAAAACGAGAAAATGCAAGAGCTTTATTTTGTCCACAGATAAACCATACGTCCTACATAGGCCCATGAGATGACACTTTTTCTTATTTTTCTCATTGTGTGTATGTGTGTTGTGCTCTAAAGAGGTCCTACCATATTTTCTTTGCAAACATCTAGCAAAGTGGAGAATGGATATTCTTATTACTCATTAGAGTCAAATGAGATGCATAGTAAGACTAAATGTCCGTGCACGCGAGTCAATTGCTTTATCTCATGTCAAATATGAAGGGGGATATTCGAAAAATAAAATGAGATATAAAACAGAGTAATTGAAGTAGAAAGCAGCTATCGTGTTATGAGCCACGACATACTTCTTAGGCATGGCAAGTGTTCATGAAGATTAAAGTAAGGGAATTAGGATTTCATATCAGCCTAAAAGCGCGTCCACTCGAGAATAATCGAATGCATTTAGTCAATGCATGAAAACCACTTCAAATGCTCTTCATCGCTCACTTCCACATAAGTCAAGAGAACTAAGTCCACAACACTAGACAAATGATATCACTGTAACCATTTGCAGAAACTAGTGCCACTTACATTAATTTCTATAACATATGTGATCAAGCACCTCATCTAGACATAGGACTGCCGAGCTCCATTAACCAATAAAGAGAGTCTCTTTCTGGTATGAATAGATTTTCCATCTATCGAGATTTGAAGGTTTAGCGTAGCCCAGTTTTTTCTTTGACTAGTTTTTGACTGAATATCAGTATTCCGTTTCTAGTTTGTGAACATATTTCTAAGTACCTGCAATTGGCCTTTGTCGCATCATTCATATACAAGTACAATGACATCCCTCAACATTATTAACATAGCTTCTTCAACTTGTCAACACAATCGTCTCAGATAACAATTAGGACAATTTCATTAAGGGAAAACTCTGACTGAGCACTGAATAGGACCTTTTCAATCGGAATCCATTTTCACAGCACAAATAATATGATCATTAAGGCTACAGGCTATTGGTTGTGCTAAATATGCACTTTTTGTTTAAAAAGTACGACATGCCTAACAGTTATGCCGAAAATTTGGGAATATGATAGCTTACAGCTGACGGTGCGGTGTCGTTCCTGGCTTGACGTGGCCCCTCTGCCTCGCCGGCGAGCTGGTGTAGCATTCTGCCCGCGTATTTGCAAAAACAGGTCCTGTAACTCTAGGGGACGTCAAAATCGGTCCATATGTTCTCAAAAATTCTAATTTTAGTCCATATATTTTAAAGCGAAAATTTCGCGCGATTGCTAAACCCTACGCGCACAAATTCATACATATAAGACTAATTGATTTGATACGCAATACTTTCCTGTGTTTACACCCTTCGCCATTGTTGTCTTATGCGAATCAATCCAAGGAATTTTGAGATCCTGAAACATGGACATTGAGCAGAAGCAAGCGGAGCATATAGACTACTTCGTGAAGAAGGCGTCGAGCCTCAAGGGCTCAGCTCTGTCAAACGTCGTCGTTGAGGCCACTTTCCACCCTTACCTATTCGCTTTCTCCGAGATTCTATCCGTTCCTAGCGTACTCGAGGTATGCTGTAGCTGTAATTATGTTTGCAGTTTTATTTCTTTGATTTTTTTTCTGACCGCCGTCTCGTTTTGAGGGTTTTAGCAGTAATATTTCTTATTCGTAGCAGAGAGCAAAACTGAGCCAAAACTATGCAATTTGGTGCGGTTCGGTTGATTATCTCAGTTTGGGTTTAGGAATTAGTTATGGTTTGTTTTTTTATACGGTGTTGTACAGGTATTTTTTTTTTCACAAGTTCGGGTTTCGGTGTTTTGCGGGTTGGTCCTTTTTGGCACGAACATTACCTAAATGCATAGAAAAATCAAAATATTGAACAGTATATTTCGGTTCGGTTATTTTTAGTGTAGATAATTTTGGTTTGGTTCTAGTTCCATTTGTCTATGTGTTGAGGTGTGGTTTTGTATGGAAATCTGACAATCTCGATTTCTCTCTCTTTTTCTTTTTTCAATTTGGTGTATTTTCGCACTATTGCTCACCACTACTGATTCGTGCTTATGTTTGATTTCGAATAAACTTTAAATTATTTGCTTGTAACCATCTTTTTTCTCCGCATTTGTCTCAATTCGTGGAATTGGTTGCAGCTTGAAGGAACTGAGAACAGTTCATTACTTCAGTTGCTTCGCATATTTGCACATGGGACATGGAGTGAATATAAGAGTAAGCATTCAGTCTACTCAGTAATGCTTTTTAAAAAACTCCCTGTTATGGTTTACTTTTTTTGTTGATCTTTTCGGCTTAATGCTTTATTATATATGCACCTTTGTTGCTTGTTACTTTTCCGTGAAAATACTGATATTGCTCTAGGTTTGTTTATATTAGATATTAGATGTCAGGTCATAAATTCTAATAGCATTTGCATCATTTTCAATGATCAATGAGCTTCTCGCGGATTTCGTTCAAACAGAGATATATAATGATAGTGTAATTTATCAGTTTTGACGCATTTCATTGTTTGGGGTGCTGGTTTGCTTCCGCAAAATAATCACTGACCTTTGTTGACTTGGATTTCTTTCTGCAAACAGTCCTAGTTTTAGAAATCAAGGAGCCATACCTCATCAATTAATTTTGATATTTGAAATTTCTGAGTGGAGTAAAAAACTTCATATTCTGTGTCGATCGATACATACTCTTGATTTGGTAACTTCAGATAAATCTTTGGAGATTGAATTTTGGATTGAAGAGAGCAGTAACAACACATTTGACATTAAACTGTAGGTAAAACCGTAGAGCATGAGAATGTGGCGTGTATAATGTCGAGTGCCTCTTCTATGAAATGCGCTGTTTTCAATTTATGAATAAAGCAACCTGATGATTTGTGCTGTGATGCAGGTGTTGCAAGTCAACTTCCACAATTGGTTCCCGATCAAGTTCTCAAATTGAAGCAGCTGACTGTGCTCACTCTGGCTGAGACAAACAAGGTAGTTCTCTATGTATCTTTCTAGAATGACTTGGCTTAGTTGAAATGCTTTTTTCGAAATTTTTTTACTCAAGATATATAGTTACATAATGCAACAGTGAATGATACTTATCTTGGAAAGAAGATGTGTAATTGGTCTTTTACTAGCAGTTTTGTGGTTCTAATTTGTCCCTATGTGCTTAATTGTTGCTTACATTATAAGACGGCTGTGAATTTTTCTATGGAGCATATCAGGTTCTCTGTTTTAATTTACCTTTGGATCTGGTCAATATTCGTTGCTCATTGTTGTACTTGTGTATTTCTTTTTCTTAATCAATATTTTTTTAAGAGTCCATACAACTTTTTATTTCTCTTTCCATTTCTCCTCGCAAAATTTGCGGATGTCTTGAGTCTTGACTGTTGGCGATTATTTGGCCTTTACTAGGTTTTGCCATATGATACACTGATGAAGGAGATAGATGTTACCAATGTACGTGAATTGGAAGATTTTCTGATTAACGACTGCATGTATGTGGTAAGTTTCCTCTATTTGTTCCTACCCAAATAAATAAAGCCCAGTGCTGTTTTTCTTTTCGTTAAATCGCACTATGAGAAAATAATTTCGAATGTGTTGCTCATTATCTGAATTTTTTTTTTTTTTTGGTTTTGTTTTTAAATGATTAAATAATAGCTGATAATATTGAACGTAAAGTTCATAGGGGCACTTACTAAAGAAATTCTGAAGATTAGTGCTTTGGTATATTGCTGATATTATGAACAGGGGATTATCAAAGGAAAGCTGGACCAGTCCCACAGATGCCTCGAGGTCTGCTTTATACCTATTTGACTAGTTTTTGTCTTCTGGCTACCTACTTGC